GGAAATCTGAAATTACTGATTTGCTCACGGTGCTCACAGACTAATTTTTCGTCGTCAGTAAACATTTTTGGATGGCCCGGTTTCTGAATGGATTTCTTTAGTCACCTTTTTATAGTCGCTCGACGATAAACGAAGCTTCAGCTTGTCTTTGTGACATTATTCCCGACAATTGCTGCCAAACATTCCCCAAGCTGATGGTACATATAATGCGCATATTTCAGACTTCAGGAAATATTTTCTATTTGTGGGCCATTACAGTCTGATTACTGTAAAAGTAAGTGAAAATCACTTTTGTTGTGGTTTTAAAAATAGAAATAAAACTATTAACGCTTTACAAAGAAAAAAATGAAAGTTTTGGGTTACTTGACACCACTGTGAGCGTGGGTCCAAGTAGCCCGGGTTTTGAGATTATGTGCTCACAATTAGAAGATGTAAAAAAAAGGGGAAGGCGTTATACTAATGACGAAGCTATCATAACCGTTCTACAAACAAATATATCATTATCAAACTATAAACTAATCCTTTTATGAATAATCTTGAAATCCAGTATATAGATAAAAGTTTGCAGGACTCAAATTCGCCAATTTCGACCCCAGACAGTAAATAGAGAGCTGTAACTTACAGGTGCACCACCGAATTATGTTAAACGCATTTCATGCTCTACTGTGTTGCCATCGCACGGAAGCAACTGCAAACTAACTGATCAATGCAATGTAAAAGCGACTGCAACTGCTGAAAATATTTTTTTCGCCAAGTAGTCCGTGATGATGGTACTACATGTTTTTACATGTTCCTGCGTTGACAACGTTGTCTCCAAACTTGGGAGTTCTCCAGCATTTTTTGTCGTCAATATTGCTAATAATTGGTTTTATTTTCAGTTCGATTCTCCATCTTCCTTTTTCGTAAGAGTAATCTTGCCCACTTACAGGGTTTGCAAGGCCTCCCCGCCAGCGTTTGCTGGTTATGACGGGATGAATTAAAGAGGGACGTCCTCCTCCATTGCACCCACATTTAATGGAGGAGATCATGATGATGATGATAATGGAAAGGGAGTTAGAAAAAAAGATTGCGCGCGGTTCGTGACCCCAGTGGCGGATTCAAGGGGGGAGGGACATGGGAGCCTACCCTCCTAAAAAAACCTAGTTTTCGTTTGTTGCCTCCTTTTATTTGGCAAAATTGATTTAAATATTATGGTTAGAATTATATAATGATTTAAAAAATAGTGTTGTATAGTATCATATATACTACAAAAATAATATACAATCAAAAACAAATGTTTATTATTTAACAAAAATCTATGATGGCCCCCTCCAAAATGATCGGGAGGATCCGCCCCTACGTGCCCCATAGGGCACTGCTTAACGCCATTCACTGGAAGTGATCATGAAAGCCAATGGCACCATGAACTCTCCGATGTTAAAACAAATTAAATAAATGTCTGGCTCCTTGTCGTGATCCAAACCCAGAATTCATAAGCTCGAAACGTAAGACGTGTCGACAAGCACGTCGCTACCACTGTCAGTTGCCGAACGTTTTTTTCAAACAATTTCTTAAAATCTTGGCACCCGCATTACCAAACTCTTGTTCATGACTGAATGGCTAGAGCTCACTGGCAAACTATCACCGACCTTCGCTTTAAATATAATTAAAAAACCTTACGGGCAGTCCGCAAATTATGTAACGCGCTGAAGGATGTAATGGCCGCATTTAAAATAAAAAGGGCTACCTCTTAAAAACGACCCCTACCGGCGGTCAGCTACCTCCTCGACCCGGATTAGCTAAGCCTATATATGCGGTTTACAAATTCATCGTAATTTCGAGTTTCTTTCTCCAATTGCCTTCACTCTTTGAGAAGAACCCACGAAATGGGTCTCAAAGTATTTTTGTCAGACGAACAGTTTATGCGCTAGAGCAAGTTAAATTACGGCACAAATTTCCACAATTATCATTTTTTTTAATTTCCCCGAATAAATAAAACCACACGCTCTTTTACAAAATATATTAGTTTTGAGCAAAAATAAAATGCATTAAATATCGTACAAAATTTATCCATTAGTATTTCCCATATTTGGACCAAGGTGTTCGCGTTAGGGCGTATTGAAGTAAAGCGTACATTGGACGTAGCGGGTAAGCCAAGACCAACTCACTTCTCGCGCTGACAACCAATTTCATAAGGAATTTTATTAAATAAATACTGCGTAAAAATAAATGTCTCCACACGTTTTCTTCAAAATGAAATCTTCAATAACCTTTAATTACATTTTTTAGTATTTGGATCTTCTGTGTACCCCCCCCCTCCCCCAAAACACACACACACACAGAGGTACGAGTGGTGCGTGCACCTTAAGTTGATCGGATATGGAGCCGTTAGCACTTGAGCGTTTCTGAAAATGTGGAATTGTGATTTTTTAGACTTCCCAAGGATTGATTTGAAGAACTCGTACACAAAACTCAATAATGCATACAAACCGCTAGTAATGTAAATTTAATGACGTGAGAGAAATGTCAAAAATATTACAGTTATGTAATTTTTTTAACTACATAGCGTTAGTGGTATTTACAGACAGACGGGTGGTCAGACGGACCAGTCGGCTTGACGGACGTTTTGAATAAAACACTTTTTTGGCATCTGGGGACCCCAAAACGTACATTTCCGTTAAAATCTCGAAATCTATTTTCCGCAGCATTACGACACACTATACTACGTAGACACGTACGTATACGAGAAAGTAACTAGTGGTGCTACAGAATGTCACAAATTAGAGGATTTTTTCTCCTTAATTTAGAAACCGAATTCATCCACTTTTTCGTTATCAGGGCCCGGCAATTAATTTTTTCGGCCGAAAATCCGCAGTTTTATCGTGCTGCATAACATAACTTTCCCTGTACTACATATATAACTTCGTATGCACGCATGTATACAGTAAAGTAAAAACGGACATATTGCTTGAAAATTGCAAATAACATACGTAAAACATGTCATGGGTTTATCACCACCAGGTACTAGAAACTTACAAAAATTACATTTATTTTACATTGTTTATCTTGCATTGCTAACACCGAAAACCAATGAGCCTCAAACAAGCACATAACCAAAGTGTTTTAATGTATTCCAGATTAACTATAAACTGCAATAAGTGCATTTAAAATACCAGAAAGAACTGCTGGAAGCTGATCACTCATCACACACAATGCTGTTATTGGCACTGTCAATATCAAAATCTGTACTGTTAACTGGATGTAACATACAAATTTGTTCAAAAAATTCTGTTTTGTTTTTTTCAAATATTGCATCGGGTTTTGGACATCAGAAATCTGGGCAAGTGGAATATGTTTGTGTTAGTTCAATTTCCTGTGGAAATGGACCTCTATTTTAAATAATGCTAGCTCAGTGGACCTACATATTTTTCTCAGATTTCACTTCCATTGTCAGTTTATGACAAACTCTCCAACAAACAAGATAGCCAAAAACAGCAGCACATCATTAAGAAAATCAGCTAACCAGCCAGTGTTGTGCAGCACCATGATCTTTAATGCAAAAAAACATATTTGTCCCATGACTAATGCAGTTTTTATTGGTGGCACTTCAGTCATTTTCTTTGGCACTAATGTACTTTTGGCTGAATCTGTTATCCTCCGATGAATAAAAGTTGACACTACAATATGGCAGCATTAATTCAGTTTTTGCAGTTTTGGACTAACGCTGTTTTTCCAAGAAGCACTTCAATTGGAAACTTGTCATTCTCATTCTCATTCAAGAATTTTTTTTAATGCTTGTATATTCCAAACATCCACCTAAAAGTCCATAACCAATCATAAACCAAAAATCCATAAACAATCGTGAACAAAGAGGGAAATGGTTCTGGAAGTGGATACTTTTCTATATTAAATAAAACACTCATTAGCTACACATTTATTAATATATTGTAGTACATGGTCATTAAAATAATATATAACTACATTTAATTTTCATACACGTAAAATAATGCTCCTCAACAGTCATCGACAATATGGCAGGATGACTTGCTTACACGGAATACACTTATATCTGTCGATGCAAGTGGAAGAGAGTGGATTTTAAATAATGTGAATCAAGTCTATGAGACACAATCAGGACAGATGTATCCAGTGTTGAACATCACATTCAGAGGAGAAACTGTAAGGTTGCTGAAGAGACATCAGTCAAGGCAATGCATTCAAAATTGCATTCATAAAATAGCATTCACACAAGTCTCACAGACTGATTGCATGTCAAATGGATATTGTACAGGACTTGACGAAAATATGATACACAATTTAAATACAGATATATACAAGAGATGCTTCTGAACTCTATGATCAGCATTTATACAATTGCTGTTTTGCTGCATGGAAAACTACTTTATGCGAGTATGTGCAACACTTATTGACATCACAGTTCACAAAGTGCATAGACTCACAAGCAGAGATGCATATTTTCCTTATTGACGTAGGAAGAGACTACCTGTAAGCCACCACACCCTTAACGCTGCTTTAAATTAAAACCTGACCATGAGCTCTGGGACATTGTTACCAGCTTGGTCCCCCATCCGCTCCCCCAACCATGTGGCAATGGAAATTCCTCTCAACAGCAAAATATATCAGCACCTTCATTTATGCTGGCTACAGTGGAAACAATTTCATATCCTCAAATCCCAGACCTGTACCTGACTGGTAAATTTCAATAAAAGTTTGCATACCAAACAGTGCATTAAAACCATCTAAAAATACAATGTATCAGAACACATTGATTTTGGTTCTTTAATTTTGATATACAAAATCCTTCAGAAATTAAGCATACATTATGAAATATACGAAATTCTTCTCAATCATCAGCTCTGAGCAAATATAAAACCTAAAAATTCTCTTTATAGAAGATTGAGGAACCCAATTTTCCATTCCTAAAATTAAAATTGGAATGCAATATAAAAATCTCCACTGCCAATCTAAGCAAAGAATCAATTAGCAGCTTGGTGCTGGTACTAAAGCTTGGAGTACAATATAACATGCCTAAAATGGTGGCGGATGATGAAGACATTTGTCTCTTCAATCAAAGTAATCAACAAATCCATTCATTTAAATTTGTACACAAATTTTCAATAATCAAGCTGCTACAGCAGTCTGCTGTCACAAATACTCGTGGTTCTTTTGTACTGGGTTCTCATAAATTACCATCAAAATCCACTATAACTGTAAGTACATATATCAACACTGGTTGACATGGTCTGATACTGGAAAACCAAGACTAGGAACTGCAAAACTAGCACATTCAGATTTTCTGTAATGTTCCCAAAACTGAACAGATACACTTACAATACATGTAGTGGCCAGTGAGCCAATTAATTGACTAAGTTAAATATTACTACTCAAACAACTACTACAACTGGCTTCACCCTTTGCATTGGAGCCCACATCATTTGGTGCCACTTTTTTAAAAAACAATTATCCGTTTCTAGTAGTTGTCTCACACATCCAAACCCTATTTGCATATGTACTGAAACCATAACAACTGATAATTTTTTATTTTTTTTAATTAAGGAAATTATTCCTGGTGGTCTAATACAACCATCATATGTAACAACCGCAGTGTAAATGAACAATACTTTCATCTTTCCGATACACTATGTGGCAACACTCCTCTACTGCACCACAGGGGAGCCGAACATTCTTCTCTGAAACCAAGGACACTTGTCGAGATGACCAGCCTACAGGGCACCCAACTGTCCTGCATTTTCTTATCAATCTATATTTCTAGTATTATTTATGACAAAAGCACTTATTTTATAGGCTTCTTCACAAAAAATGGTGGTTACAAAAAAGGCAACATTTTAAATGATATAACAATTGTCTCTTGATATAAGATATCTATATTCTCCATTCCTAAATCTGTCACAAAGTTCTACCTCTAAAAGAGGCAAGTTGTTCGTGATATGCATTCACAATATAACAAACATAGTTCAATAAGAATATAAAGATCATACAAACTACACTCTTTCCATAACACAGGGCAAGTACAACCCTTCAGATTTGGCAAACAAATGTAACATCAGTTCTTTTTTATATTCTTGGCAAAATATAACAGCCAAGGGAATGAATCAATAAATCCATTTTCATACATAGCAGCACAAAGAATAAATAAATAAATTCTAAGATGAGAATGAAGCAAATCACAATAGTGCAATCGTAAAGAGATCTATAAGCTTTAGAGTTGCTTTGGAATTCATCCAAAAATGTATACACATAAATTATCACCCCACTGGAATTAAGGTCCCATCTACTGCAGGTTTCTAATGACACTCATACCCAGGACAACACACATAATATAACCAAAATATCAATATCATTACATGACTGAAAGAATATTTACATATAAAAAGTGTATTGACTAACAAAACACCACTGTCACTGTATCAACCTGATTCATAACACGGTATAAAGAAACATCACAGGAGCTATAACAGCATTAAATAAGTATTAACACGATGCTATTTTTAGTACGCCTACTCACAAATGTCAGACGCCACTATCAAAAGCAGGAGGTACGGAGAGACCCATGGGCTGGGCACCGTCAACAAGTGTAGACTTCAGCCCTGACGGCTGACCGTCCCGTGAGGCAGTCGCAACAGCTGCGTTGGTCCGCATCTCATCTTGCGATGCCCTGCAAATTTAGGAGAAAATGTTAATTTCCTTTAAAAATAATGGAATAGGGATTAAACGAAGGTTGCACGCAATTGAATAATATATTGTAACATTTTGAAACAGAGTGAAAACAAGACAAAGAACCAAAACAACTAAAACAAAGCATCTGAAGCACTTTTATCACAGACAAATGCTGTAAACAAATTTTGTTAGTCATGAAAACTCATATTTACCCTTTCACAACCAATCTGGGAAATTTGATTGTTAATATAAAACTTCCAATAACAGAAAAGTATAATACTTTAAAATTTGACTGTAGTTATAATGCATTTACAATGCCATAACAACTGAAGTAGTTTAGTTGCAAGCAGTTGAGTAAACTTAACAGCAAAGAAACTTAATATGAAATGTTGATCAAGTTAGCATCACAAGGTTGCAATTTCAATACTATAGTCCCATCAATGAGTCATCGTTTTTAATAGTTTTGAGAAAAATAAAGAAAGTATTCAGGTTACATGCATGTAAATCTATCCTATCTAAATTTTGTTTTGCAGGACTGGAAAATTGCACTAATGTACCACACATATTCCACAAATTAACATTAGGTCACACATTAATTTCTTTAAGTAGCATTGCAACACATCTTCCGAAGTGAAGTGAACGTGCACCATAGAAGGCTTAATACAGAAAATATAATATAAGATGATGCTCATAATAAAATTCAGCAAAACACTTTCTTCAATAAAACTTCCATTCAATTTGAATTTTAAAAACACAGAATCTTAATTATATTATGTACTAATCAGTGAAACCTCTCCATATTTGCAAGATACAAGTCTGCTAAGAAGACATCTTCATAGCAGACAATTTTCTAGATCCAGGACAAAAAAATTATTTTGTTTCATCAGATATTCTTCACAGGAGGCACCTTGTCAAGAAGACAAGTATAACGGCCCTAAGAATATCTGTGAAAGAGGCTTCACTGTAAACAAAAAAAATGTAAAATACAAAGGACTAAGTAATGAAGAAGCTTACCACAAACATCTATTAGTGGCAGAAAAGTAGATATTGTATATTTGATAAATAACAAAACATGCTATGAAGAATATGTACAAAAATATAATTTGTATTAAAATTCTGTTAAACTATTTACCAACTGCTTAAAAAATCAAAAGTAGTAAGATTAAATAATTAACAAAAAAGAATACAAGCAATGCATTTACACATCTGATGAAGTGCTCTATCTTGAGGCGTCCTAACTAAATTGCAGCAGAACATGCACATTTTGCAGCAGAACATGCACATTTTGCAGCAGAACATGCACATTTTGCAGCAGGAGTCATGCATATCTAGAAATTATAAAAGGTAATTCAAAACTATTCAATGAAATTGCACAAAATCCCAGGTGAAATAAAAGAAAAATATTAGTACTTAAGTTGAATAATTTGTCTTTTCCAATTTTTGGAACATAAAAGTTATCTTGATAAGTTTTGTTCATTAATGTTATTATATCTAATATTTTAAACATCTTAAAGTTTTCCTGCATCAAATTACACAAAACCCCAACATACATCAACACGTACCATTTGAAACTTTTTTGTTTCTTTTTTCTTCTTCTTTCTTTCTTTCTTCTTTTTCAGTTCTCCATTTTATTTACCATTTTGTAATATTACATTTCTTTCTAACGTGTCTCTGTTTTATTGTGAACATCAGGATTGTCCTGCCTATTCATATATTTTGTAAATAAATAAATTTATTTTGGTGGTGGTGGTTTTGTTTTAGCAACATGAACACTTTCTTCACAAGCACTGGCAAAGAACATAAGAAAAAGAACTAGTACCCGAGTACAAGATGTAAAACATTAAAGCAGTATCGAAAATACTGGTACAAATACCCAATGCTTTGCAGATCAGTTCTATCAACACAAATTACACCAATTCGCTCAGCTATTAATCAACAAAAATTATTTTATTGCAACTTATAAATGTTAATATTTGTATTATATTAAAATAGCTGACCAAAACCCAAAAGCATTTTTTAAAATATTTTGCCATCGTGGCCAAAATGACCACGGAAACCTATATGAAACTGCAAATAGTCAACAAATATCAGGACTGATTACAAACTAATTTTGAAGTAGGGCCTACATATGAAAGCACATTAGGTCTACAAGATATGGAAAAAATGCTGCTGCTACATTAACACTCCATTGCATGCTGCACAGGAAAAAAAAAAAAAAAACAACAAAATAAAAAAATGCAATCGGCAAACTTCATGCGAATTACACTACTACAAGACAATTAGAAGAGTTATTGCCTCCAAAGTTAGTGCATCTAGGTGGGACGCCAAACATCAGGATCCTCCATTAGAGTAGTGTTGTGATCTGCTTGAGGAGTAGAGGCAGGTGGAGACGCCATTGCTGCCATATCCTGACGTGATCCTCTGTGATAACAAGTCAGAATTACCCACTAAGGCATATACATCCCCAAATATCCAATAAAACCTAATAGAACACACCTGCTCTCCCTTCGTAGACACACAACTTACATCACTATATACAGAATGTTTCCAACTAATTAAATTCAATAAATCAGAGGATATAAATGGCTGTTTTCGGTACTTATTCACGGAATAAAAATTTAATTAATAAAAGTGTAGCTGAATAAAATTTTGCTACTTTCAAAATCAATACCATTATTCAGAGGAGCACACAGGATGGGGGAAGGGACCTACAGGTACAGTGACCAGCTAACATGTTCTTAAATATTTTTATTTTTATTTTTACTGAACGTAAAGTTTATCACACACGCACTCACTGCCCTTTGAAAGACAGAAGCACACAAACACACCCCAAGTTATAAGTGTGTTATATTAAGTAAGTAATAAAGATAAGAAAAATAAGAAAAAAAAAGCAACCTTCAATGCCAAAATATTCCTAATTTGAAGAATTAATATTACTTTGTAAGCGTTAGTATCAAAATGTGAAACCACTACACAGAAAACAGATCAGCCACCTCAATTATTGTCAGGTCTTTCTCCAAAGCATTAGTACACACACACCTTTGAATGAAATGTTTCAATGAACGAAAAAATGTGTGAATATGAAAATAGTCACTTTCCATAAGAGACAAGGTGAACAGGTACACTCGAGATAAACAACAGTCACACACTTATTTTTTAACATCCTTTTCCATTTCATTTGAAAACTGGCATTGCACCATACACTCATTCTAAGAAACACAGAAATTTACCTGAATTGAATACTGAAAATAAAGTATCAATGAATTTTCAAGGTATATAAAACACTCCTACAAGCAGTATATGAAAACTAATCAACTCAAAATTCTAACCTAGCACAAACAGAATGCTGATAAGAACCATCAGAATCTCAGTTTTGAATTGTATTTTCAGAAACAAAAATATTCACACATATTGATTTCAAAAGTAGTATTTTAACATCAATTACATTTTCCAGATGTATCTATGCACGTCTTTTTAATAGTCTGAACACTAACCACATGTAAATCCTACAAAATGTGCTGAAATACTAAAGAAAGACAAATTAGCATTTCAAAAATATTATCCTATTTTCAATGTTTTCAATACACAGCTTTTTTCAGGATTGGATTTCATAAACCTAACTACATTTTTCATAAATCTCCTTTTTGACTAATAAAGCAAATGTATCTGACATCCTCTCTTCCAGTAACTTTCATATTAACATTTTTGTAAGTTAATGAGCACTATTCAAACACGTATACCAAACATTGAATTCTTCCTCTTCAAAAACAAAATCAATAAATAAATAAAATAATAAATCACTATCACACTACCTGCAAGAGCTATTCTGAGGTGATTAAAAAAACCTTCAGGAGAAGCATCAGAGAGAGAAAAGGAGATGGAAGAGGAGAGACGTTCAACCTAAATAATTTTACAGTATTTTTGGCAAGTATTTTTACCAAAAAATATGAGCCACATAGAACAAAAGTTGGTGGCTGCATTTGTACTGCAAGGCACAGTTTCCAGATACACTGGTTGATTTAAATAAGTATGACATTAACATTTCTTCAAAATCTATTTCAACAAATTTTTTTTCACAAAATTTAGGCCACTCTTGTGGGTGTATTATCATAAAAATTGTATGAACAATATGAATAAAAATTTGAAACCATTATTGAGCTTTGAAGATGATTAACTTTGAAGTTTGATTTTATGTTTGTTTGCTGTTTTCTTGACCTTTACTAATTTCGAAAGAATTATGATTACAGAGAAGAATCATGAAAAAACCTGTCCTATTCATTTCTGATTATGAGAAGAAGATTATACACAACTTGAGTAATACTTACTTTTTCCCCAAAGCCATCAGTCCATAAATTACTCCCGTTGTAAATATCAATCCACTACCAAATATACTGGAGAGTGAAGGACACAAGAAAATCGCTGGAAGAGCAATTCTGAAAAGTAAAGAAAAAAGATTGAAACAAAGGTTTCTTGAAAAAAATTTTTAATGAATTTGTCTTAATGTTAATAAATATTTTTACAAAAAATCTTGAATATTTAAAAAATTGTATTTCTCAGAAATAAAATTCAAGAATGCACAAAAAAAATCTTTACATAACATAAAGGGCTCCTCTATTCCAGTAAGGGCGTCTATCAGCAAATTCTGCCATATTCTGAACAAAATCGATGAAAAAGCAACAACAAGGTGCTTCCACAAGAATAACTAGAAAACCTGCAACCCTGTAAAATTTAACAAATGCACACTTGTCACATAAAAGCATTAAATTATATTTAGCAGCAATTAAATGTCTAGAGTTAGAATATGTTCCAATACTTTTACAATACTACACTTACATTTGCCATAATCCACCAATTAGACAGTCTACTTGTCCTAAAACAATACTTGCACAATTCATAACACCCAAAGCTATTGCAACTGGAAATAAAGAAAAATTGTTAATGTGATTAATAATTTGGTCCGTAATCGCTTCGATGGCACAAATTATAAAAATTATAAACATACCAAAACCACCTACACAGCCTAACCCTCTCCCAGCATATTTCATCCACCAAGGTACATCATCTTTAGCCACGGGATCTTGCCCGGGCCGTTGCATTATTGCTGTCAATTTCTCTGCGAAAGACTAAAACAAAATATGGCAATTAATGCAAATTATGAATGTCATATGTTAAACGTGTAAATTTGACTGAGGCAATGCGAATTGACAAAAATGTATTATCTCTCTTCATAAATATTCTAAAAATATTTTCAGCAGTAGCCATACTTACCATTTCTTTGTTATCTGTGCGCGATGAGAGATTAGATTTCTAACAATCTCTTTAACACACCAAGCCGATACGGCTTTCCCTCTACGCTGCTGCGCTGACACTGACCCTTCAGGAAACCAAATTGCACTATCAATAAGAGTTGAGATATACACTCTTTGACATACAAAAGATCGATCTCTTTAATAGTACCACCCACAGCTGATTTCCTTATCTTAAAAATGTACTTCGGTGAAATAAGGAGCTCGTTCTAACCCCATCTATATTGTAAAACATTGGTTCGGTCCACCAACGGTCAATAACCAGCGGCCATAAAAATTAGTGCCGTCCATTCCATTATGTTCCGTCATATGACTGACCGTGACTGACGAAGTGGCCAGTCGTTTGTTTCCGGACTGGTTCGGATCGAACAAGTAGCAAATACGCTCTCGAAGTTACATATTTATCTTTTGGATAAAGGTCCGAACGGTACTTGTTCTTCAAAAGACAATTAGATTGTTTGTTTTCAGCTTCGGAAAATGGCACCCGTTCATTGCACAATATAAACATGTGATTCATTTGTGAAACGACTGTAGAAACGAGCGGTTTCATGTTTTCTAGCCTAAATTGTTTTTTTATGCATGGTGAATTGCCTCTAATTATCATGAAAAATCTTGAAAATTACAATCCACTATAATATATTATTAATTTACAGTTTTCGACCGCACCTACAAAGCGTTTTATAATAGTTCTTTACAACGCGTTTTAATAGTGTTTTTTTTTTTAATTTATTTATTTTTTTTTATTTATTTGAATTTTAGACATTAATAGAAGCTACTGCTTGTAGTGGAACCTTTGACTTACACTAGTGATGTGTAGAACAAAGATAATAGATTTTCATTTCTTTTATATTTAATATGGCATTGGTCGGTCGTTGTTGATACCAGTTGGCAGAGGGTGAGCGTGGCGCTCACCAGATACGTTTGAAGATGCAGCTCAAGCAGATTCCTTGAAAATGTCTCGATAGTTTCCCATTGTTCAAAGAATTCATATGTAAAATCAAGCATACATAACTTTGAAGTGTATATTTTACTTATCAAAACAAAATTTAAAATAATTAAGATTTGATAAAGAGACAAAATTAATTTAAAAGAAAACAATGTTCGTTCTTCAAAGTTTAATGATTTTCGAGCACTATTTGTATCAACTCAAAACCTTAATTTTATTCTATCTGCGGATGGCATTGTTGGCATATTGTTACTCGTGCTCCCCACAAATCGACTGTGTACACTTCTCACAATAAGATGTTGCCTTCCTGTCCTCCATAGGTCAGTAGAAACTCTTGCCAGTTGTATTGTCTCACTCTGTTGTTTCACTTCTAAAACCATAAAGCGGACCATCACTATAATTCCCAGGTTCGATTGTGTCGAGATAATTGGCCGAAACTTCACTTTTACTATTATGGTCATTGAGGCACCAACCCAAGAATAATCACAATCACTATCTTCTAGATTACAATTCTTATGTTCTCAAAATCTTCTTGCGGGTATCTTTAAATCTCCTTTTCCATCTTTCTGAATAATTAAAATTCCGTGTTTACAATATGACGCACTGTTCCATTTGTGAAAAATTGTCGAACGGACGGTTGTGGATAGCCGCCGCGCTCGGTGTCTCTGACTCCAATGAATGAACACGCTTGTTAAACGGAAACGTTTACTCAAATTTCCGATATAGGTTTACCTTATCGACAAGAAGCTCTTTCGGCACGGTAGGTGAGAGCTCGGCTCAGTGTGCCTGTGACAAACTTTTGAAATGTAAAGTGAGCGCCGCGTTCACCAGCGACCAACGGCGAGTAAAATATAAAAACAACGAACTAATAATAAATCAAGAACTAGCATAGGCGTGTGTGTGCAATCCAAAACAATGGGAGAGTGTAACATCTGTGTCCCCTTACATGGATATGAAATCATTTTGAATCGATGTATATGAAATCATTTTGAAAGCAAAGTGCTTCCAGTTGGCGCTGTCTGCGACGTCTGATGGCTTCCAGGTTAGATCGCACTTGGCTCATGGCTCTATTATTGGGTTTGCTGCTTTGATTCTTTGACCCTTCTCTTTAACACGGAGAACATGTAGCCTTTGGTGGCGCAACCAAATGGGGAGAGAGGGAGCGCTGTCCAGCGCTACGCGACGACCGAGGGAGTTCGAGGGGAATATGAATTCTGTCTTCATTTGACTCACTGCAACATAATTTTATGAATTTCGCTTGTTAATGAAAGTACACTAGTTCAGTCAATTATTGACGGTATTTAATGTATTATTTATTATGTTTAAAGAAATTGTGTGCATTTATATTAGATTTATTGATTCCAAATTTACTCTTGATGAATTATTTGTGTAAAGTTAGTCATTCTGGAAGGGAGACCCTTTCAATCTCTCACGGTGGATGTATATTTCCGCCAGCAGCGGAACCAGCCGATCATTTTGGAAGGGGTCATCGAATATTTTTGTTAAATAATAAACATTTGTTATTATGTTGTATATAATTTTTGTAGTGTATATAAGATACTTTTCAATATTATTTTTTAAATAATTACATAATTCTGGCATTAATAAGTATTTAAATCAATTTTTCCAAACAAAAGAAGGCAATAAACGAAAACTCTAGGCCTTTTGGAGCGGGCCATCCCTTCCTGGATCCGCAACTGCCTGCAGCAGCCTGCAGTTACAGTAGCAGAGCGCTAGTGGAAATAGCGTGTGTGAGAATGGATATTTATTACAAAATATACCATGGTAGTAAAATGTTCGAAATAAAATAATTTTGCGTGAAACGTGTTGAAATAACAGTACTTGCTGCAATGTGCTGGAGTCGAAGTGCCCAGTGGAAATCAAGGCCGGAAGCACGTGCACGGAAGGTGTATATATCTGATAGTATGCAAGTAATGTTTCCAAGCCCTTGGGTTTCAAAGCCCATTTGATACCCAAGTAACCATTTCATCGGGTACTGGAAGCCCATACCAGATAGTGAAAGGAAGCAAACCAATAAAAAATCTAACTACTAATTATTTTCTAAAATTCCAAACCATGCAATGAGCTTTCATACATAGCATCAAAAAGATATCAAGCAAATTTAAAGGCTCTATCTTCCCTGTGTGTGTGTGTGTGTGTGTGTGAAGAGGTATGAAACGAGTACGGGACCACCCGCAAAACGTTTAACCGGGACCCCTTTATAAAAGTGTTTAGTACACAAGTAATGTTAGTACTTTAAATAATAAAATTATCTTTCAACGAATTCGAATTCATAAATCTATGATTAATAACCAATAGAGGAACAATTTTGTCTTTATTATTTGATATTATGAAATGAAGACTGTCATAAAGTCGAAGTAAATTGCTTGCCTTTATTGAGCTGGGTTACATACGCTATCGAAGCTCTGTATCGTAGAGAAAAGGAATTGCATAATGGTCCCGCATATGGGGGTTCTTGCATTTACGTTACAAATAATATGGATTCTATCTCCTTGACGGAATTAAATGTGTATTCCGTTGAAAATGTTTTTCAAATATCTGTAGTACATCTTCGTACGCTAAAAATTATATTACTTTGCATCTACAGGCCTCCAACAAAGAGAGCAGTAGATTTGTTCATAAAAAACTGTAGATAGCACTAAACAAAATAGCAATCACTCTTTTGAATCCATTGTTGTATGTGGAGATTTTAACATTGATTTTCTGGTCGAATCTTGCGAGAAAGCAATTTCTCAACTTAATTCATTCCTTCAGTTTATATATAACAATAAATGAACCTACGAGTACACGGATCACACTAAAAAATTAGAATACAATGATCACGAAGCACAAATCCTTACCATTATAAGAAATGCGATTACTTGACACAATAAAAAATACACGTATGAGTAGATTATTTACTAAAAGTAAAATAAAATTATTCATCAATTACGTGCTGCAAGTGATCGGACGCGGTTTCCAATACTGTTGATACAAACGATAAGTCTAGTTTGTTTTTTCTTTCTTTCTTTCTTTTTTTTCCCAACGCTCTCAATTCATTTTAACAATTGCTTTCCTCTTCAAAAAAGAAAATTAAATATGCATATGAAAATGCATCCGATGTGTTATTCATATGTGTTATATGAAATATGAAAATGCATCCCATGTGTTATTCATTATTAGGACAGCATGTAAAAAAGAAACGAATTATTTCTTTCATTACTAAACATCATAACATATCTCAAGATTTCCTCCTCTACTTTAAAAATATACAAATTATTGTTAAGAAAAGTCATAAGGCAAGCTAAAATCATGAAACATGATCAGGATATTTTGAACTCAAATAATAAAACAAAAACAATGTGGAATATAGTAAAAAATTCGATCAAATCAACTAGAAACCTGGTAGAGAATGTTGTTTTAAAAGATAACGATAGAAATGTGAACGATATGCTCCGGCCCGGAATCCGCCAGGAGTGGCTAGTTTATTTAACCAATACTTTTCCGATCTCACTAAGAATGTACAGCCACAAAATTCAGCATCAGACGTTTCCCCAAAACTTTTAGACACGATGTTCTTTTTCGAAACATCTCCCCATGAAATTTTCAAAATAATTGGTTGTCTAAAAAATAAATATTTAGGCGGTTTAGATGAATTTCCGGATTGTTTGTTCAAGACTTGTGCACCTGCCATAATACACCCGTTTACTCGCATATTAAACGTATCCTTATGCACAGGATTTTTTCCAGATTTTTTAGAACGGCTAAGATTAAGCCGCTTTTCACAAAAGGCAACAAAAATAAAATTCAAAACATCGGTCAATTTCTCTTTTGGCGACTTTTTCAAAAATATTAGAGACTTTTTTACGTAAGAATGGAAACCGTTCTTAGACACGACACATTTTCAGTTTGCCAACATGGGTTTTGAAAATCAAAATCTAAGGAAACAGCTATATTTTCTTTTCTTAAAGATGTCGCCTCATCCATGGATCAATACGAAGCACCTAATGGAATATTTTTAGATCTTTCAAAAGCTTTTGACGTCATTGATCATATCATTTTACTTTCAAAATTACCTTCGTATGGAATTCGTGGTATTGCTCTAGACTATGTACGTACCTTAAACAACGATCTCAGATAGCAGAAATGCCTTACTGGAATAATGGAACATTATACAACCTTTCCGATTCTTTGCCAATTGCATGTGGTCTCGCATGAATCGATTCTCTTCTTACTATTCGTAAACGATCATAGAGGAGAGATATATCTCTCCTCTATGATCATAGAGTAGAGTTGTATCTCCCCTCTATGTAAACGATACGCCCTTGACGATTAGAAACGGAAGAACGGTTCTCTTTACGAATGATACGAATATTCTTTGCAATAACGTAACCGTAAATAGTACAATTTCAGATATTTCAAATGGGTTCCATAATAACATATTAATGGTAAATAAAAACAAAACGGTTTCAATGCAGATTTCCATTTCAAATAAACATCGCTGTTCTCCATTGAAAATAAACGGTGTGCCATTGACTGATGTTAAGGAAACAACATTTTTAGGTATTGCATTTCAGTCAAACCTTAACTGGAACGTCCATTTAAATGAATTGAAGACTAAATTAAGCTCTTTATGTTACGCTTTCAGAATTCTTTCAAATTCAGTTAGCCTTCATACTGCTCGTTGAGTTTATTTCGCAAATGTTCATTCCCGTGTGAGACATGGACTAATATTCTGGGGAAATACACCCCTTAATCCCCAGACTTGTAGATTACAAAAAAAGAATTGTAAGAATAATAAGCAAATCCCACCCACGTGATTCATGTAAGCCTCTCTTTATTGATCTAGTATTTTACCATTACCTTGTCTCGTGATATATGAATCAGTGTTTTTGTCAAAAAGGACTTACTTAAGGGCGGCAAACGCCGATGTCTATAACTACAACACTTTACGCAGTAATCATATTCAGCAGGTGACAGTATCAACAGCTCACTACAATAAATTCACACACAATACATGTGCCTTATTTTACAACACCTTGCCAGATGACATTAAACGATTAAATTCGATACTAAAGTTAAAGTCCCAAGTAAAATCTTTTCTACTGCACAACTTTTTCTATACAATTAGAGACTATATCGAGCATCCAAAAGAAAAGTAGTATTAATTTTAACAATGACATTTAATGTATTATTTATCATTTGGATAGTATAATTCTAAAGAACCTGTCACACGTATTGTACTTCAGCTTGTGGGTCAATAACCCCCATCTCGATCAAGTTTTCGTCCGATTTCCTTGATCCTTGAGCAAATGGTCAGATGGTCCCTTCTTTTGCTTCTGGACATCAATGTAACTTCACGTGTGTAACATGTCACACACAGTTTAAAACTGTTTTTGACATAAATAAATAAAATTAAGCGGAGAAAATTGTTCTCTTGTAAGATGTTTTTCATCTTTTATTGTATCGATTATCGCAAAGCTTCAGAGAAAGTGTCAAGTAATTTTTATTTCTTACAGTAGACAAACCTTCAGCCTAAAAGTAGGTCCTATTTTACTTGGGCTTCCCGCATTGCAGGCATGAACGTTATGCCACTGCTACACACCTCACATCTGACCTTAGAAACCGAACCCCAACCGTACAATTCCTGTTTACCTCATAATACATATTTGTTATTCCTCGCCACCGTTACATATTCAACTAAAATTTCTCTTCCACTCGGCGAGGTAATACAGGGGGCACTCAATATTACCACACAGGCCTGATAGGCTCTGACCTAGAGCAGAAAATCTGTAGGGGTTGAAAGATTTAAAATCGTATATATTATATAAGTTTCTAAACATATAGATTCTGTAATTGAATAATAATAATTTAACAAACATTTAATTTTCAACAAACTTACACATTAGTTTTTTCATATTTAATTACTATAGGTAATTTCTCATTAAAAATCATTTAATGTTGATTTATAATTAATAATTCACATTAAGAAATGCACAAATATTGTCGTTTTCTCCTATTAAAATTAGGTTTATATTTACCGCGTTTCATTATTAATGAGTTCGCTGGTAAAAAGTTTGTTTCTTGATAAAAATTCTCACTGTAATCATATGTGAATAAATTTGACTAGTTTTTTTATAAATAATGTTTTTTTTAAAATACATATAGACTAATACATGGAAAGTATGGGAAAATATTAATTATGCACGAGCGGCAATTTTTAGTTGGCCTATGGGCGGCAACATTGTTAATCCGTCCCTGGGAGCAGTTATAAGAGCTTCAATTTTCAAAATGGAAGCTCTCGCTTGGACAATAGTGCCCCCTTCGAACTCTCCAAATATAGGGAAATTTTAATAGGAAAATATGTACTTCACCTACCCTAACCATACTATGTTGGCTAATTTGCACTTCATCCGGCCACAGTCCGAAATACGCTTCGAAGTTGTTCCTAAGTGGGAGTTAATCCAAATTGGATGATGTGAATGTCTCTGCAGTGACCCTGATCGGGAGATCCTAAGATTCGAATCTCGACGTTGGCAGATTTTATCCTCCTCCCGCCCTCTTGCGTTGCGTAATTAATTGGCAGCCCCCAGCCCCCTAATGACTGTCGATAGTAAATTTTTAATCTAAAAAGTACACAATTGGTTCTTTTTCTTTATATTACTCAACAAACTCGCTTGAACCTTCTATTATTGTTTTAGAATATTTATTATTTAGATAAGTCCTTGCATAGTTTATTATTTTCTAATTTACAATAATGCCACATTTACACAACTTTGGTATTAATGAGTATATTGTGTTAACATGATAAAACAAACACAATTCCAATGTAAGCATTAATGAATAGACATTTAACTATTGTTTCATATTTGCGTTCAAGATATAATTATTTCATCTTGGAAATGGTGTCTTATTAATCAATTGTTGCATCGCATTCAACTTTGTTGAATATTCATATCTATATATATATGAATATATATCTATTCAGTATACATTTTGCTTTGTATGTTACACAACACACATTTACTGCTGGAACAATAATTGTGATTTACATATTCAATAAGTTGAATTTCAATGAATAACACAATTTAACTACAAATAAAATAAACCATTTCGTAAAAAATAATATAACCAATGCTTCATTAGTAAATACTTATTTTCTATAAAAATTTTGCCTATTTGGGGAATAAGACAAATATAATGGTTTCTATCAACTGTTGAACTTATTTTAATATTGGAGGAAGATACCTTTATCTCTGTAAACAAGATTAATGCTGTTTACATTCCTCCTAATGTTGATGACTTGACAGATTAAAACATATACATGATGATCTCCTGGAGGTAAATAAGAAGGAAATTTAGTTGTCAACTAATGGAAATGATATAATTTTGCGAATAAGTAAAAGATGTTGCAACTAGAAATTCACTATTACTTAGCCACAGCCCTCATGAAATCTGAAGATAATGCAAAAGAAAGTGAATGCAATGATTCAATGAATACACAGGTGACTGAAAAATGCCATTTTGTTCAACCCACAAAAGTACATTATGATGCTGTAGGATTACCGGCTTAGATTGCTCAGGGCATCAATTGATCCCACTGCAATGCCTCAATGGAAGGTCCTAGAGTTCAAGTCCTGACAGTGGCGAGATATTCAATACTAGCAACATTGTTAGAACAAACACAACTGCTGCCTGGAGGAGAATTTGAGAGACTGTCTACTCAATACAGTAGTTTTTCATGGCTTCTCCAATCAACACCAGGTGATGGCCGGAGCAGTATCCTAACAAACAGGCCATGGAGCATGCACAATCTTTCCTTCCTCTTCCTTGTCCTTTCCTCACCGCCTTACTTACACTCACCACACTAACATATGTCAGGAGACAAGTCAGGAGCTTACAGTGTGTCCTGGCTGAAGCATTGCCTTACTGATGGGAGGAACTTGGATGAAGGAAAAAACCCAAGCCAACTGGTAGGTTGGCGCCGGATCTTGCCATACAGCAGGCAGAGATCACCGCTATCTTCCACAGTAAAAATGTGCATTACAATTAGGGAGCTAATTATTTTAGCAGTTGATGCACACAGAACCACCAATCAATCATAATGTTGGGCACATGATTATAGAGGAAGGAATCAAAGTCAGGATTTGCAAGGCACTACAATGTAAAAATTTAAAAAATGCATCTTCTTTTTAATTCCTTTGTCATTTCTTGTCAATCAATAATTGATATATCCTATTGCCCCAATGTTGCATTTTTATCCTTTCTATTGCAATATTTGAATAAATACAAGATATTTCAATGCTTGGTCCTTAATGGGTTACCAATGAAATCTCCAGCTTCAATAACGAAGGTGGTTCCAACTACAAGAATGTACAATTTTGAAAACTGTACCTAAATCATAAAATTTTGTAATCTTTACACTATATAAAAAAAAATTAACAAAAAATTCTCAGCCATTGTTGAGAAATTTTATATTTATGGAAAACTGATCAGAATTTACACAAAATGACTCGCATTTGATAATGAAATGTACAAAAAATGATTTATAAAGACCTAAAACTGGAAATTAGATCATGCCAAAAAAAAAATCTTTGATCTTAAATGATGTACAAGTCTCAAAGAACTATTGCAATTTTTGACAATCCAGAGGTTTGAATGAAAATCAGTTCAGCATTCCTCTATTCGAGCAAAAATTTTGAAGCCATTCAAGATTTTTTTTTTTTTTGGTAACTATAAATGTGCTAAAAATACACCAAAATTCAATTCTAATTTGAAGCACAGATTTCATTAAGACAAAAATTTGTGTCTCAAATAATTTAGTTGGAGGGGAAAGGTCCAAAAAAAACGTTCACCTCAATTTTAAACATTTCAGAGATTTGAATGAAAATCTACCTTACACAATTTTGTGTGTGTGTGTGTGTGTGACACTTTCCTCTATTCAAGCAAAAAATTTGCAGGTGTCATTTTAAGATCCACGGAGCCATGGCACTAATATGATTGATCAGGGAATCTAACCATAACCCTGAGTCCAGTTGAGGTGCAATTGTTGTTTCCTGTCAGACATTTTGAAGGGCAAAAATATAATAAAAAGTCATACTTTTGATGTCAGGAAGGTGCTGTTTCATCAAATTCTTAACAATGATTGTTTGCAGAATTATGTAACTTTCTCTATAATATATATTTGAGGAAGTGAAATAGCTCAGCAAAATATTGAGGGAAAAGATTATTTTGCAAATTGCATGATCCTCTCACTCCAGTTATTATTAAGCTAATAAAGATGTAGTGAAATTAACAAATGCATTGTCATGGTTACGGACAAAGTACTCAGAAATATGAGTATTCAATACACTTTTATTTAATTACAAATTAGACAAATTTACAAACTACTAACATACAGAATAGGACACAATCTGTTATTTAATATTTATTTATATGTACACAAAGTCATTTCATAAACGCACATTTGTATTTGGTTTTACATCACATACCCAAATGCATTGATAGAGCTGCCAAAAATCATGGAAATTAATTTTTTTTTCTCTTATACATTATCAATAAAAATTAAATACATCCACAAAAAGTTTGAGTCAAATTTGAACAGGGTTCTGAACATTACATGCCACTTATAGTAACAATAATAATGTTGATAACAATAAAATAAATATATTCCTGCTGATTTCCAAAGATTTCTTTTTCTTGCAAAGCACCGATCAGATTTCAATTCACCTCATACGTTCCAAGCACACTAACCTACTGCTATCTTGTGTGCACAATTGCAATGCATGACATGATATGCTTCATACTGTTATCTTCTTTTTACTGAAAAAGTCAGACAGTTGTTCATTATTAGCACATGGTCAATTGAATACTTAATGTACATGTCTCACATTGTGATAAGATCACTGCCTGCCTAATTAAGAAAATAAGAAAAATAAAGCACTTTTGCTTCAAAAGAGAACACAAAGAAGAGAAGTGTACTCATTAAAACCACAACAGCACCATAGCCACAAGAAACAAGACAGTGCGAAAGATATATCAACACTGCTGCTGTGAGGACTAGACACAATTGGTTGTATGTTGGCTGCAGGATCGCTAGCTTGCAAAGGAGATTACCAGAAGTAGTTTTCAGTCTGAGGGGCCCGCATCACTCCCACCCCTCCCCCCAGACGTCGGTAGTTCATGGCACCACATAGCCGCCATTGGTTCTGCTCGGTATCATACACCTCAATAGTTTTCAAGTATGCAGTTCCATCAAAGCCACCAACAGCATATAACTGGCCATTCACGACTGCAAGTCCCACCTGAGCAGGCAAAAGCATTTATCAGCAAGAAATGAACACACAAATGGAATCAATAAAGGGATACGCAACAAACAACCACAATTTATATTTTATGAAAAGAGTGAAAATAGGTATGATAATTATTTCATAGTATACTTTCAACTATACCACACAAGGTGATTCTCAAAAACACAATAAATGGGCAAGAAAGCTAAAATTCAGAAGGATGAATTATATACATTTTGTAATTCAATGTCATACAACAGCATATTAGTGACACTCATAATTTAATCCCAGGAGGTAAATATATATAAAAAAAGAAAGCTCTCAAAGTTGACAATTGGGCAAACAAAAACAGTTAACACAAATATTTTGTATCTCATTGTACAGTAAAACTGCATTTATATGCTTTGCATTTACAGATATTTCATGTTTATTAGTTATGGTTTTCAAGTCCCACCTAAATTTCTGTACGTACCAGGATAAATTATTTCAGGCATGCTCCTTCACACATTTACATTCATATTTAAAGACCCTTTAGGAATGAATTATACTAACAAGCATAACATAGGTGACCATTCATTGATAACAATGGGTCACTAGGATTCTGTGATAGGCTCAGTATTCAGGTTCATAAATTTTGCAGGTACAGTTGGCACATGCATCACTTACTCACTTTTAACACTTGTTTGTCCAGGTTTTTTATGTAGTTTTGCGCTGTTGGGTATTCTGGTGGTGTGTCTGAATGAGAATGCATGAGTATGAGCGTGTGCAGGACCGAGAGCAGGTGCATATACAGGAAAGAGAGAGCGTGCACGCGTGTGCAGGAATAAAAGAGTGTGCGCATGTGCACAAAAGGGAGAGTACGCGCGTGTGTTTGGGTGCATGCGTGTGTGTGCAGGAAAGAGACCTACATCTTGCTGAATTTTCTGAATTTGTAGGTTGAGTAATTTTACAGGATCACGCCCTCATGTTTCAAGTGTGTTCGTCGAGTTAGTTTGTCACCAGTGAGAAGTAGGGGGTAGTATTTTTAATGAATTGCCATTATTTTCTATTGTCCTTTTCTGTTTAGAACAATGCTCGTTAGTGTAGAAATTCATTTTATGTTATGACAAATCAAAATGTCCCATCTTCATGTCTTTTTTCTTCATTTTCTTAACAACCACAAATGTCATATTGTGGAATGGAAATGTCATTTTACATTTTTACATACTTTTTTAATGCGCTTTTTGCCGATTTCATTGATTTTAAAATCATTTTAATGGTACTTGCAACAATATTTACGAGATACAACAAATGTACACCACAGAATTCCAGAGTACCCTATTTAATTTATTTGCTCATATATTGTAAGGTCAGCCGTTGCGAGCGTTGCGAGTACTATGTAATTTAAGGTTCATGTGATGCCTATTGGCGCCATTGTCAGTTTGACCGATTTCATGATAAATAAATGCAGAGATTTTCTTGCAAAGAACAATCCAAACTTAAAATTTACTAGTTGATTTCACTTGAACAAAAGGAAGAAGCCTTGATTACTTCAATAACATTTACAACTGCTTGAGTTGAAAGTCTTGAGTGGTTTTGACATTTTATATGTCATTTTTTTTGCTTTTGAAACATTTTAAGAGCATTTTATTGAAAATTTTTGGCAATGTTTTAGGTCATCAAAATCCGCTTCCTATTTTTTTATGGTGATAAGTCAACTCCTGGAACATTTTCAAAAAATAGTTTTTTAATTTCATAGTTTTTATTAAATTTTGTTGTTGGATAGTGTGACAGGCAATTAAGAGAATGGTAAGGTCTCCTTTTTGTACAAAATTAATTTTTTGAAAATTGCAAAAATTCAAACTTTTTTCTTCATCTTCCTACAACTACTATGAAAATAGAGATTTGTTTCCCTTAATGAAATCTGGTTCTTAAAGATAGATTTTGAATAGGCATGCACAATTTTTCGAAAATGTGAGGTCTTTTTACGTCATTTTGCGTGAAAGTAGGGTGAGAAAGTACGAGCTGCTTTAGCACCACTAGTTTGTATTAATTTCTTTTCAATTTAAGTTTTAAAGCATTACTTCTAATTTTTAGAATTACAATTGTTTTGGAACAAAATCTGCGCAAAAAAATCATTTTCTTGATTTTACACTTTTTTGGCCAGTCCCTAGAGTGATATAAGAGTTTCACTGTATACAGGATTCGAGTGTCCATGCAGAATTCTACTATTGCAAAGGGGAAAGAAATTGAAGAATATAGTTGTGTGTAAGTGATGTACAGTGGAAAGAACACAATGAGGGAAATTCAAATACTTAGAAGCTGGAAATATTTCAATTGCTTCCAGCAGCATCAACCAGATGGTATTCCTATAAGGAGACCCATGCTGAAAGAGGTGCTGTTAATGGGTCTGTTTAAAAGACCAAGGTTTTGAATTGAAAATTTAATGGTATTTAGCAAATTAGATGATGATTGTGGTGAACTGTCTAATAAATCTCGCAGATTTCAATAAACAGGTAAATTTCTATTAACTATCATTGTGTTATTCAGCATGCGGTTTTTGAGAACACTTGTCTCATCTTGAGGAGAAAAATGTATGCCCTATATATGCAAAGAATCTGTTAGAATATTAAATAGTAAGGATTGTCCAAATGTTGAATTTTTATTTTGCACCTAAATGTTTTGTAATTTTCAGTTGTGCATTTTTCTCACTCATTTTTCCCTCCAGTACCCTGCAAAATGTATAAATGAAGTTTTACTGTGTTTGTAAATTCACATTAACTCTAAGGTTCTGGTTTCAGTTATAGATTTACGCATTTCCTATGTATCACTTTATTATTGTACTTTTTATTAACTGACGTTTTTATCATGAACGATTTTTTAATTAAAATCAACAGCTATTACAAAGTACTCAAGGCTGCTGTAAATCATTAAAAACAGCAACATCTACCTCCTCTATTGTTACAGCATTAACATTAAATATTTCAAAAGCCAGAATTAACAGACTTCTGCCCAAAATCTACTGTTCTGATCTATCAACCTCTGTAATAAAAAATTTTAAAGCTTAATACTTAACCTTTAAAAGAAAAACCAGTGAATTTAGATTTGATATTAATAACTCTGGCCTAGTGAAAATTTCATGTCAACTACTAAAATAATCTACTCTAAATTCTACATACCCCACTTCTTCGAGATGTCATGGCTACAATTGGGCTCCATGTATTAGAGTGAGGGTTGTAACGCTCTGCACTAGATAGCTCCATACAATCATCTCGGCCACCAACAGCATATATTAAATTGTTAAAAACTGCACAACCTAAGTGTTTGCGGCGAGTTGACATGGGAGACACAGGAGACCACTTATTCTGCCGAGGATCATATCTTTCCACTGTGAAGGTAAAGAAATTAGAATATGATTATATTATCAAAATGACTAAGCTGAAAGTTAAGGTAAATCAAGTTGACAGTAAGTACCAAACAGGAAACACTACATTAACATACGAGAACAAAATTTAATTTTCCACATTAACATGGAAATTTGTTTGAGCAATTCTTTGAAATGAAGAATGTGAAAGAGAAAGAGATAATTATTAGCAAATATCTCAAAACAACTCCATGAATAACTATTTTCAACATTAAGTTCAGCATCAATAAGCTCATCAAAACTATTTCCAAGGCATACCTATGGTTTAAAAACAATTTGATTATTTTTATACAAAGAATCATATGTATAATTTTTTTGTGAATTTGAAATGCATTGCACCATTCTGAATACTACAGAAAAGCTTAGCAGCTATAGGCAAAAATTGAAAATATGATTTTCAAATTTGTAGGAAAAACCATACATTTTTCCTTTATGATTTTATATAATTGCATGTTAATGTTAGGAGGTAAGTTTTGGAAATGTTCAGCAATCAAAGATTTGAAGATGCAAATAATAAATTTTATATCAGGTTAATTGCAATTCAAAATAATGTGTCAAAAACCAATTTGTACGCTGCACAATCAGCTGAGTTTCACGTCTTGTAAGGCAATTATAAATTAAAACTTTTTACACAGTATTACAGAGTAAAGCAACTCTATAACTGAAAGAATATGTGATAACTAATTCTAAAGCCAAATCTTGCCAAACAAACACACACAGGTGCACGCCCCCACACACAGACGCATGCTCACACACAAAATACACGAACAACATTTACATTTTGATTATCCTCTTGGGGTTTGTCTAAAGGCTCCCCCCCCCCCAAAAAAAAGATGTGGTTAGGTTCAACATCCAGAAGGATGTTTTGTGTTAATCCCATAGGTGAAAGGCTGGAGCCCTGTTATTCGACACACATAGAGCAGCATTAATTCATCTTTAAAGTTGGAGGGTGCAAATATGACACCATTTCACTTGTGGGTGCATGTTGTCCTTCACCAATTGCTCATGGAAGCGAGCTGATTTGTTCATATCCATTACAATAAGGGAGAATGAGTCAATCCTATAAACGTAGAGCATTACCTGTGTTAAGAGGACACTGTCCATCGGAACCTCCTATGGCATACAGGAAGCCACCTAAGACTGCTACAGCTACTCCTAATCTCCGAGTAGTCATTGGAGCCACTTTACTCCATTTATTTTCTTTTGGATCATACCTTGAACCAAAACAAAAGTAATATTACTTACAAATTGTCACAAATATTTTCCAAAACTTTGCAGATCTTTTTTTTTGTAACATTAGACAGTGAAAAATGTAACTCACCTTTCTACATGATTAAGGCACTGAACTCCGTCCTGACCCCCAACTGCATACAAGAAGCCATCGAGCACCGCAACCCCCACACTCGTTCGACACGATGTAGTAGGTGCAACATCACAAGACCACTGATTAGTTTGTGGATCATACCTAGCAAGACACCAGGAAATTATTTGAAGTTAAATGACAAGAAATGTTTATTTGCAATTTATGAACATCATTAGCTTAACCACAAGCGACGTTTCACTGGTGAAAGTTAATTTCATTGATCACACAGCCCATTCAATAAAGATAGGATTGTTGAAAACACTGAATTAGTAGCAATAAGAATGATAAGATCAATCAGCAACAAAAATGTATCAATTTAAAGAACCATACTGAACTTACAAGTTGTTTGCTTGAAACAAGCAAATTAATTAGCATAAAACCCATAAATTGAGTTCATTTATTCAATTCATGAAAATAACCTATACTACAAGAGTTGAATTTGGTATTGACAGTTAGGCAGTGTCCCTAAGTTTCCATGGTGACAGTATATGCGGGGCCAATCCAGAGTCAGATGTCAACATCTGCTGACCTGCACTGTAGATGATTTATATACATCACCATGAGCATGACCACAGGTACGATTGGGTTACAAAATGTGGCGCGTGCTCAGTCTCAGACCCAAATGAAATTTAACACCTGATAGATAGTAAACGATGAGTAGGATTTTCAATGAAGCTTATCTTTTCAAACAGGAAACTCAATTCATCATTCAGCTTGGCAAGAACTCAGTTCACAGAGTTCAGTAATTTGCATCTCAACATTCTTTCAGGGTTCATTAGGGACACTGTTTTTCAAAGGTGATTCCGAAATAGTAAAAGAGCCAAAATATTTTCATTCAGGTTCAACACAGTATCTCTAATGCGGTTTAAGGTTTTAATGTTACCACCAAATAATTTTCACTTTAATGCAATTGAAAATATTTGGGCTCACATGAAGAGGTACAAAGCAAAAAGAAATAAGACTTTCACAATTTCAGAGGTTCAGAAACATATTTCAGAAGCAATTCACCGTATTGTTTCTGATACCTGGGAAAAAGTTGTTGAATGTACAGAAAGACTTATCAGAGAAGCTACTACTGTATAAATGAGAGTATGATAGAACAATATTAATGATTGCATAATTTCACCACATGATTCCAGTGATAATAATAATGATAATAATAATAATAATAATAATAATAATAATAATAATAATAATAATAATAATGAAGACAGTGCTGGTGAAAATTGTTTGCAAGAGTGACATAAGTAGAAATTTTCCAAGGATTAATGGAATTGTTTGTATCCCATAACCTAGGAAAAGCTTGGAGAGTTTACTTCGAAAACATCAACTCTATTTTGATTTTCTATTATGACATGGCATTTTTCCCCCCAAAAGATTTTTTCTCCAGTATGTTCAATTGTGTATACAAATGTTGCAATACGTAAATTAGAGAAGTGCTCTCACATTTACAATGAAGAAGGTCTTAGAGTTGTGTCATGTTGTTGAAGTGCCATGAATAGCTGTAGTGCAGGTGGTAGGCATTTTGTGCTTGGCAACACGCACCATCTGTTCAGTAGCTGTCAATCCCAAAGTTCCATTTCCCAAAATATACAGTTGGAGATTAAGATACAGTTTTACAAATAATAGCCAAACAATTTAGCAGAATTGTGGGAATGGGCATATTACCAAAGAAGCATGTACTTGATCAATTAGTTAACTATTTATCACTATTTGATGTGCATTTTTTTTCCTCTACAAAGAGAGTTCAATAATAAATTACACAATATGAGAAGGTACAAACACATAGAAAGTTTTCAGAATCAAAAAACTCTCAAAATGTTAATTATCACAGTGAATTCAACTAATCTTAACCTTTCAATACTGTTGAGATACGATTGTCCATCATGACCTCCAACAGCATACAATAAGTCATTGAGCACTGCCACTCCCACACCACATCGTCTCTTGCTCATGGGAGCCACCATCTTCCAGTCAGCAGATTGGGGGTCAAAACGTTCCACTGACGCAATAGCATCTCCACTGCACCAACCTCCCACTGCAAAGATCAAATCAATATCATCAATGTACAAAATCATTTTACATAAGGTTTCATATATAAACTGAATATAGAATAAAAGAAAAAGTTACATGAATAAAATACACTGATTTTTGTACTTTTTTTTTTTATTAGTGAAATTTAATGTATAATGAAATGAACATTTATCAAAATTATACAAGACACCAATATTTTAATTTAATACAATCATCCTCATTTATCCCTTCGTTTGTTTGTAAATGTAACAATCTCTAGCAAAATGTTTGTTCTAAAGGATCCTCTCAAACGCCTCTCTGAAGAAATTCTCTCCCATCACTAACCGGCAAAGAGGACTTCTCCACGCCTAGTGGGCTTGCGTGGTCTAGTTCTAGGCCCTTGCATCAGCGGCCGCTCTTGCGGCAGCAAGAGATAGTTCTTGGCCTCATCTACGAGATCACGACACGCATCATCACTTCGCACCAACAAATCTGATCCAACAGTTCCCACAAGGAATTTTGGACTCAAGAGGGGAAGACGCACATGTTGCAAAACCTACACAACATAAATGGTTATAAAACAATTCAAAGTCAATTAAATTTTAGGAGACAGTAAGCATTCTAAATTCACACTCCAGATAACCTACACAGATTTTAGATCACTAATAGAATTACATAGGTAGTCAGAAAATAACAAGAAATGAAATTACGAGTCTTGTTTGATCACAAGACTACATATCAAATGGTACTTTTGTTTTGGAAATTATGTTCAATTAAATAACAAAGGACGTACTAAAAACAAAGGCCCAATTTTACCAAAAAAATAAATGTCAGCCACCATCACTGACAAGTGTTTTAAATGCACGAAATGTTATTACACACCTGAGCCAAATGTTGTCTTCTCTCTGACACATTGTACTTAACCCAAGACATCACAGCACTGAATACTTGCTCTTCTGACCGAACATTTAGTTCATCACTAGAAATGATGTCTACTAGCTGTCCCACTGGAAGTAGCAAGAATTCTTCACTTTCCATCACCTGCACATGGAAATATATTTGTGGGTTAACTGTAATTAGCCTTTATTTTTTTTATAGATTTTTAATTCAAATAAAAAATACCTCTTGGAAGTTATGTTGGGTAAATTTATCTGCTATTCTCAATAGCTCTCGACAAGAATGTGTATCAGCAAATGCACGAATACCTAAGCAATTCGATGGATCCAATTGTCTCTTCAAAAACTCACAACATATGTCTTGAATTTCTGCCAGTTGAAGCAAGCACGCTAGAGAAGAAATATATATTATTGTAAATCTTACTGATGGAAACATTCATGAGCATTATTTTTTAAACACATGATAGATCTACTTATCTCACAATTATTTTCCAATTTCAAAAATTAACAATACTTTATCAACTAGGATCTCTCATCTCAAAGGACAGATGAACTTATGAGGGGGGAAAAGGGAAAAAAAAAACAAACCAAAAACACACACACAAAGATGTTGCACAATCAATACAATGAGATGTAAAAGCAGCCACAAATTTCATGCAACTTGTCAACTCATTGGTACATCCTTTACCATAAGATAATATCTCTTCTCACTCTGAAGTATACAACAAACAAATTCATGTATACTTGCTTTTACAAGAGAAATTAAACTGGAAGAGTTACATTTTTCCATTCTTCCTACCTTATCTTTTTTCTACTCAAGAATCTAATTACTAAAGTCAAAACAATGCAATGAGAGTTCATTATGAAAATAATACACTTAATGGCTGACATGAAATTAACTAGTTCACATAATTTTTGCATCTTACTCGGGAGAAAGTAAATATTGTAGCTCCAAACCAACAAAATAATAAACAACTAAATCAATGAAATACAGAAAATATAGTGCAACTTTGTAACTCTCGCTTCATGAACATAGGAACCTCAGAGACCCCAAATTGTATGTAAAACTAGCTTCTGATTTTCTACCAGATTTAAAAAATTAGTTTTCTTTAATATATTCAGTAATTTCCCAAATATAATATGCCTAATTTTTAATCTGATTAATTTAACAAACAATAGCAATTAGAAGAAGTTATTATTAAAAATAATTATCATGAGTGATAGACAAGATTTATATAGTCGATTCATAAACACTTATCAGAATTTCAGCAACTGAATTAATCAACTTTACTTCAAAAATTGGTACACTGCACTTTTCTGGGGGAAAAATTTATACATATTAAAAACTAAACAAACTAATCTTATTGGGAAGCAATTTTTCATGAATTACAGAGGTCTGCAATAAAAAAATGGTTTGAAATGTAACAGATAATTTAGTATGATTCTTAAAAGCAGAACTCTATTGCAAATAATTTAAAAATTCCACCACCCACTATTTTTTTTCCTTCACATTATTATTTTATTTTAAAGCTCAAAATGTTTACTGCCATGTCACTGGTATCTCCATTTTTTTTTTTTTAATCACAATAACGAAGTAGTCTGACTTTACAAATTGTGCACTTGTTTTACAAAGACAAATCTATTTTTTTCTTCTCTCCCTCCTCCAAAATTTAGTTTAAATTGTATCTTTGTGAAAAAAAGTATGGTATATTAGTTTTTCTTGGAAATCAGCTCAAAGTGGTTCTTATGTAGTCACAAAGGGCTGTTTTCTTCAGATTATTAAGTTAGTGCATTAAACACCCAACTTTCAACATTTTTATTCTTTAATCATTATTTGAAGTTAAAATGTATTTGTTAAACAAACCACAACATATTTAATTAATTCACCTGATATGGGCACATTTGTGTATTATTGTTAAGAATTATAACAAGAAACATTAAAAACTCTGTAAAAGAAGTGCACGACACTTATTGTGATAGAAATCGGATGAGGATTTGACATGGACTCCTCGTAAGATGGACTATAGATTCTGACAATGATCTGAATAAAAAATAAGGATCCAATTTAAATGAAAGGACTGACACATCATAGTACTAATTATGCTGTACTATGGTATTCAGGTAATGGCACATGTTTAAACACAAAGAAAATAAATTATTTACTAATGTTCACTTTGCAAAGCATCTTGCACCCCATCGGCTAAATACACCTGTGCATTTGCCCCTGCATACACTAGAGAAAATTCTGATGATTCTGATAGGGGGTTTAAAGTTATCTTACAATTATTTTTAATTATTCTTTACTATCAATCAATAATGTGAATAATAATCACTTCTTTCCAAGTTTCACAATCACATTGTGAGAAATCCTAACATTTTTCAGTCTCCTCAATCTTCCATGTATTCATCACTTTTTGTAACATTTTTGCCGTATTACCAATTTCTTGTAAAAGAAAAGATCACAACCTGTTGAAATTTAAGGACCCTAGGCTTAAGATAACTTGACTGATTGGACTGTCAAAAATAAAAGTTCTAAAAGCTTATGGTTTTTCACTTCCTGTCGAAATAATTAAAGTTTCTTAAAACTTCATATGTCAAACATTGATGGCCAATTTTTCTTAACAAAAATGTGCCCAGATTGAATTGTTACCCCTCAATTCACTGATGAAGATCTTCGAGTTAAAAATGATTCTATACAATATTGACAAAACAAATAAAGATCAGAATATTTAATGAGTTAAAGAAAGATAATCAGAGAAAAAAAATTATAGTTGCTATTTATGATCAGTTTGAAATTAATGAAAATTAATTAAGAAAAATCAATTTTGTTTGCTCCAACATGTAAATATATGTGATGATGATTCAAAACTATGTGATATGACAACTCATCACAATATTTCTTCCGGACAAATTGTTGATAATGTATTAGTATAATATATATTTTATTTTCAATATGTGAAACACAAACAAAGCAATGCATTTATATGTTGAAAAGACATTTTCTTGTATTTTCAAATTTCACATGACCATATTTTAAGTATGTGAATGGTATGTCCTGGCATAGTTTTATTAATCCAGGGGTATTTAATTAAACGGTATAAAACACAACAATCAAGCCTATTATCTTATATACACACACTTTCGTGTCAAAAGGGTAAAATTACATAACTCGCAAGACGCAAAACAAGAAAAACTAATATATTAAAATTACAATAAGATGAAATAAATTAATACAATTATACAAATATAGAAGTTCATTCACTGGAAATTATGACAAATTTAATCAAGTAAAATTGCCAGGCATGTCTGAAGATATGTTTACGATTCATTTAACTTGACATACTATTCACTTGAAGTTACTGATTTTACAAAATTCAAATTTATTGTAATTAGCTTTACTGCCAGATTTTTCCTGTGTAAAATAAGGCACTCTTGATAACAGTATTTTAAGTTCCATACTTGCATTACATTGACCACAAATTTGTGAAATACTCTTCATGTGTTGTTTTTTTAAAAATTAATTAGGTCATAGTACAAGCAATTCTGAAACATGCTGAAAACAATATCAATCATAATCATGATATATACTTACCAGCCGGCAGCAGTGTTTGAACATTGCCTTCTTCCACTACAATATGAGATGTGTAACAGAAGTCAATTAAAAGTTCCATTGCTACTTCATCAATATCTCGTATTGTCACTTCTGTCTGTCGAGATTCTGCCAATTCTCCCGTAAACATTGCTCGAAAATATGGACTGCATGCTGAGAGGATTACTCTAAAACATCAAACAAATAAGATGCACGGCTTCATATCAAGAAATGAACAAGCATTAATAAGAAATTTAATAGAAAATAATTATTATTCTAAATTCACTAAATTTTCAGTAATTCATAAAATATTGAAATAAACAAAAATGCTTTTGTAAACTTAGAAATAAGCTAAATGTTTTGATTCAAATTGAAATTGTTAAAGTTACCACACCCACTCTTAGAACAACTTACCTATGGGCAAATATTTTTCGGGACCCAACATTAAGGACAACATCGCAGAGTTCCCTATGACGTCTCAAAACATTGAGTTCCGTCAAAGTTCCTCGCGGATGTTTTTCTGATGTATGAGCTAGACGTGCGGGAGAGGGAGGACGGTCCCCTATCACCATTTCTCCCATCCTGCCGCGGGGATGCTGGGCCAAGTGCAGGCGTAAAGGATGGGAGGCCCACACCCCCCACACTGAGTCAATCTACAAAGCAATAAATGAAAAAGTAAGAACCATATCAACTTGTTATCTATCACCTGCAAGCCATCCTCACGTTACATATTTATGAGGAAGAAACTCGTTTGACACATGATAAAAGGAATTCATTAGGTCCTTTCTAAATCCATGAAACATCACTTACAAGAGTAATTAACGAAAAATAATGAGATTTGAGAACGTCATTCTCTTTCATAACATACCTTTGATATTTACTTAATCACGAAGAGCGAAAAATGTTTCACAAACGTTTGCACAGTTTCCGCACAAATGGTAAAAGTCTACAGGTAAAACACACAACACATCATGCAATTTTGTGATTCCTGTGTCACGTAAAACAATGCCATAACTCCAATCATAAGCCACAGCAAATTAAAATGCAGTAGTTGCCACAGCAGACATTTCATCCATACGCTCTACGCCCCTCAGCCCCGCTCGCTCAGCACAATCACGAAAACTGTTCAGAGCGACATCTATCTCAAGAAAGACGAACTTCTTGCAGCGGTAATTTCAAAACAAACCACACGATTGAAACAAAAATTTGGCAAGATAACAAAAACTTCATTTCACATAGTATTTTATTTTTCGAATTTTCTCCAAACCTTGTTAGTCAATGTATGTCTTGAACGACAATTTCCTTTCGACATGTCTCGTGTAATACTTCCGATTTGAAAGGGTCACATACGGAATAATTTTTGTTCTACGTTCCCAACTGCATATTTTTTAAACATGTCGCCGGTGTTATCCATTTTTGCGCTGCCGCGCGACCTAGAAATGAAACTTTACGTCACTGTGAAACCCATTGTTGAAATGTATGGGAAAGATAAAGTAAATGCAATATTATTGCCATGTGAAATTATTGGCCAATTCCTATATGTATTATCAATTCAATATATATTAATTAATTACTATATGTATTATAAATTCAATATCAATTCAATATGTGTTATATTATACCTTCACACCAGGACCTGAATTTTCAGAATAAAATTTCAGGTAAATTAAAAATTTGATGCTCACCATTGGAAGAATTTGGGGAGGGGGAGTGGATGGGGACGTGTAACCATGATGATCAACTCAAAAATTACGTTACACGAACAATTTCAGATCAAAAGAAGTCCATCAAATATTTCTCTCGATAACGGAATGCTCCAAATTCTGGACGCATTTGATAAGTATTTTCCCCAAAATATTCCCTCAAAGGTTCTACCAAGTTTTCCTCAAATCTTCACCGCATGTTCCCGCACTTGTTAATCTGGAAATTAAACTGGGAAGTCAAAACTGTAATGAAGATGATATTACTTTCTCGCCATACAACATGTTTTCTTAGAAAATAGAATCTTTTGAAAAGCTGAGGTAGAAATCGTCGATTTTTCGTCAGAAATTTTCTTATTGTTATCGAGGTATCGAAAAAGTTATCTTATTCCTATCCGAAAATCTTATTCCTATAATTAGTAAATTACGTACTGTAACACGTTATGTAGTCAGAATTCACATTTCGTGGATTCTTGATTTTTTATACTGAAAATTAGTTGACAGCAAATCGTCTCTGACCGTCCGTCTGTCTGAGGTCAAAGCTAGAGCCTAAACTATTAAAAGTGTGAGATAAATTTCAAAAATATTAAATTTGCCTAAATATTGAAAACACCGAAGGAATACAGCAAAATTACTTTTATTCCCCCCCTAAACAGTGCATTTATCACTTCATTCTATTCTTGCAATAAGTTGAAAGAAAAAAATGAAGTAATTTTCGAGGATATTCTGAAAATGTCCCAGACACTTCATATAAAGTATCCCCAAAATTTAAAGAATGTTTTTTCAAAATTGCAGATTTTTGAGCGGAGCCAGATTTGTCGGAGAATATTCATTTTGGGAAAATGGTACTAATAGTTGAGGCGGTAGTGTAGTTCACAGACGAACGGACGTTTTGAAGAATCAACAATACTTTTCGGTATCAGGGAACCCCCAAAACGTATTTCTGTTGAAATCATGAAATTGCATAACTTTAACTATACTCCGTATATTACACCGTACGTTCACGAGGAAAAGAACTAGTGGGGTACAGAATGGCACATACTTTTTCGTAGTAAAGATTTCTAATTTCCTTGGCGTGGGCTAACTTTACGGTCTTGCCAAATCCTCTTGCCTACTGTCATATATCGCCTCCCAAAGTACATTTGTTTGACATCTTTTCAGTTTCTCAGTTTCTTAATTGTAGAACCGAAATATTACTTTCAGAATATTAAGATAGAGTAAAATCTCGTCTCAAATAGTAATTTTCAATGCCAAATTTGTAGCAGTTTTTAAGAAAATAGAGTTGAACCGTTGCTGGAAATGCGAAGTTTGAAGCTCTTTTTCACGAACATTTTTGAGTGTTCAAAAAACTTCAGTGAGCCATTTAAGGCACATTAATTCACAACTGCAATAGTGTTTACGAATCGCGGGAAAGGGGCATTCTAACGGCGTGAGAGATATTAAACAAATCATTTGTGTAATTTTTTGAGAAAAAAGAATACCACAAGTAGTATATCATTTCAAAGAGAGCTGTTAGCACTATATGCACCAAAATTCGAAGAAAAAATGTGAAATTGTTCTTGAGAAAATGGCGATTGAGCTTTTCTGAAAATGCGGACTTTTTATTTCGTTTTAACAGAATACTTTGGAGTTATCGAGAAACTTTATTTAAAGCACATGCACTCATAAATGAAATAATGAGAAGAATAGCTTAGGAATGTAAATATTAAGGAAGTGAGAGAGAGGTCTTTTTTTTGTTGCAAAAAACAAAAGGATGTAGCAATATGGTGTTTATGTCACCTTACAGAGTACATTTAGCTCTACCCCTACTAAAAGTTTAAAGAAAAAATTGGAGCTGTTTTTGAGAAAATCTTGTTTTTGTAAATTTTTAAAATTGCACATATTGTACGCAATACCGCTTGAAAACCACTAATTTTTTTAAAAATATGTACAGGGTCTTAATGAAAGAACAAATTATGGCCAACAAATTTAATTTGAAAGAAAAATCGCTATTTTCAATTTTGTCGAAGGAAAAAATCCGAAAAAAATTCAAAGTTTTGCAATTTGTCGAAAATTTAGTGTCAACTCTGTAAATAGTACTTGTGGAACCTTTATAAGCGAAATTTAATATATTCTTTCAAAAAATGTTAAGAAACACTTTGAGCCATTTTTGAGAATATTAGGAGAATGTTCCAAAGTCTTCATGAAATTTATATCGCCATAATTTGAAAAAAAAAAAATTAAAGCTGCAGTTCTTCGAGTCGGGTCATATCGACTCGAATTATTTCCACGAGTAGAAAAGATCCTTCGAATAGTTTCGGCGCTAGTGTTGTTCACAGACGGACGGACGGACAGACGAACAGACAAGCTGACGGACGTCTTGAAAGAACTAGTGGTACTACAGAATGACACACTTTCCCGTATTGGATATCTATTCCCTTTGGTTTCGGCTAACTGTACGAACTTGCAGCGTACTCTTGCTAGCTTCATCTATTGCTGTCCAAAGAACAGTTTTTTAGTCTGTCAGTCCGACCGACCGCCAACCTGTGAACAACACTTGACTAAACCGTAGAGGGATTTTCTCAAAAATTAATATTCGCTTTAGATCTGACTAATGTCGTGGCCTCTTGACTTTAAAATTGATGTTTTAATTTTTTTTGGGTACTTTAGATCACTTTTTGGAGATTTTCTCAAAACGTTTTCCAAACTTTTTCTGGAAATTATTGCTCAAATAGAGCAAAATATTCCTTTAAAATTTGCGTCTTTCCAATTTTCAGTAAAGATTCTGAATTTTAAAACATATGAAGGGTTTAAATTCTTTGTCTCCTTACAAATACATTTTCGAAAACTGATTTTATTCTAAATGAAATATGTTTTTACTTTCTCGTATACGTATGTATATAAGTAGTATAGAGAATATGGTAAATTAAAGATGTTGTCTGGTATCAAAAATTTATTTTGCTAATGGTCGTTTCGATAGCGCTTACAGAGCTTCCAGCCTCAGAGCTTGCAGCTTCCGGACCGAAAACAAAGTTCTGGCAGAAAAAAATACCCCGAAATTAACTTTACATCGTAAAGGGTGCAATTAGCACTATCCTTTCGAAAAGTTAGAAGAAAAAGTTGGAACCGTGTTTGAGAAAAGGCGTTTGAGCGTTTCTGAAATTCCGAATTTTTAGCTACATTTGACAGAAAGTAGTTGAGTTTTCGAGAAGGTTTATCTGACATTATTTAAAGCACATGTACTTATAAATATAATGAGAGCAAATTGTCGCTAATGTAAATATTAACGACGTGAGAGACAAGTAAAAAAATATTTTCTCAATTTTGGAAAAAGCTAAATAATGGAGTAATATGGCGTTTATGCCATCGTATAGAGTGTATTTAGCACAATCCCTACCAAAAGTTGAAAGAAAACTTTTTCAGCAATTTAAAAAAAAACTGGTTTTTGTAATTTTGTAAAATTGCACATATTGCACGCAATATTGCACGAAAACTAGTAAAATTTTCAAAACAATGTATCTGACATCAATAAAAGAAAAAAATTATGGTTAACTAATTTCACTTGAGGCAAAAACATGTATCTTTAAATTTGTAGTTGTTGGAAGACAGAAAAAATTCAAATTCTTTTCAAACTCGTAGAGCTTCGAGTCAGGCCAAATGGAAAGCGGGTTTCTCAATTTAGAAAAAATCATATGCGTGGTTTAGGCGCTAATGTTTGTCACATACACCAGACAGGCAGGTGAACGGACGGGCAGATAGACTGAGGGATGTTGAAAAAAAATAAAAAAATAAAAAAAAGTATCAGGGGACCCAAAAACGTGTATTTCCGTTGAAATCTCGAAATCGATTACTGAGTATATTACTCCATACATACACGTACGTATACGCGAAAGTAATATAAAAATAACAAGATTTTCTTAAACCCGGTTCAAAATTTTTTCTGGAAACTTTTCGTACGGATAGTGCTAATCGCACTATTTAATATGACATTAAATTCATTTTGGTGTCTAATTTTGTTTTTTCAAAAGTTACGCAAATGTAATATTTTTGAAACATATCTCACGCCGTTAATACGCACATTTCGAGCGATTTGTGCAAGTTATTGCATTTGTGAGTGGATGTGCTTCAAATGATTTTTATTTTCATTTTTTTTTCGAAATTTAAATGGATTTCTGTGATAAAGAGCTTCAAATGTCACATCTACACTAGAGCTGAGACGATTTTTTCTTAAAATCTACTTCAATTTCTAAGGATTTTTTCATATAGGACGAGATTTTATTCTTTTTAATATTTTAAAAGCAATAACAATAATTTCAATATACAATTCGGAAACAGGAAAATTGAGAAAACTTTCAAAAATGTATTTTGGGCCGCTATACAGTAGATCGAAGCGAGATCTGACAAGAGAGCGGGGCAAGCCGTGAAGCTAGTCCACACCAAGGAA